TGATTTAACAGCTGAGCGATTTTTAACATTTGTTTATTAGATAACTTTTTTCTTTATTAATATTAATTTTTTTTAAATTCTATTCATGATAATAAAATCTAAGAATTATTAATCTTAATATTGAAAAATTGATCCTCATTAAAAGAATTTTTTAAATCACTCAGATATTAAATCGTACCGGTTCCAATCCCACTAATCCCAACCCTTAAGTTAGGTACTACGACCCGCGTTTTAAAACTTTTTAAAATATATATATATGTCATATAGGGATTTGGAATCTCGAATTTAAATAATTTACTAAAAGATGATTTAAAATGCAAAATCTGATTTAACTAAAAATGGTATTCCAGCATGTACAAGAGTACACCTAACCCTATATATTTCATCATAAACTTTTTTCCCTTGGACCCATTTTAAGTTTATTAGAAACGTGAATAATTTTTTTATAAAAAAGTATCATCCCTTAGTAATGAACATATGGATACTTTTGGCAAATTTTTTTATATTCTATTTACAAATATCAAAAAGATACTCTATATATTTTAGCTAGTAGAAGCAGTGGCATTGCTAGCCTTTTTTTAAAACTTTTATAACATCCAACATTCGCAAAAAAAGGTAACTATCTAAGCTGAGCAAAAAAGAAAGTAATTCTGACCATATAAATTTTTTTATTTTTTTTCAAGGGGTTCTTCACAGTTTACCAGGGGCTTAAGCCCCTATATGCCCCATCATCGCGATGCTATTGAGTAGAAGCGTATTTAGGTATACTGTTCAAATTCATTGCACCAATACATGCAGGCATTTAAGTTCCAACATTAAATGATGTTAAAGAAGAATAGAATATGATCTACTTGTAAAATAATTAACCCAATTAATGTTTTAATACTATACTATACTAGAGGTAAGGGGGGAGGGGAAGGTGGTTCTTTATGTTTTAAAACCAATTTAATAAATATTTTTGTTTATAGGAGTTGATATATGTTTTCGTCATATAGCGTCGTGTGACCAAAAGTGCATAATGCTCACAGCTTTCTCGTATGCTTGCCGATGTAGAGAGGGTTATATATTGGGCGATGACGGCAACTCATGCATGAGTAATTTTAAAATTATTATATATTAAGTTTTGCATTTTGTTTGATTAAACACTTTATTATGATTATATTTTCATTCCACACAGTATTTAATAAAAATATAATTTTTTTTCGGAAAAGTTTTCCAAGAATTTACTTCTTTTACTTGATTATATACCTCATTTAAAAAAGGAGCAACTTATAAAATTTGAAAACATTATATTATGAAAGTGATTTAAGTTAAAATTAGCGCGAGCAATCGACTATTGTTTACAAAAATTTGAGTTGCTTGAAGACCTAACGGAAAGATTCCTAATGTAATCTGCATTTGGCTAGCCTTGCATTATAACTATTATATTAAATAAATATGAAATAAAAACAAGTTAATTTTGTTATAATCTTATTATTATAATTAGAAATAACTTCATGCGATAAAAATTTATGCCAGCAAAAATGTGTCGAAGTGAACGAAGATTTAAATGAATGCAAATGTAAGGCAGGATTTCAATTAATGATGGATGGGAAGAGCTGTGAAAGTATAATTAAAAAAAATTATATGGGTTAATTAATTTTGTAAATAGGTGTCAGAGATTCGGATTCGCCATCTAACAATACACGCTATACGCGTATCTTTTATGTTTGAATTACGAAAAACCTATCGAAAACAGTTTGAGAATGCGGGATATAAGAAGTATAACTGTGATTACAACAACAATCGAAATAAATATTTTAACTTTCTAAATTTTAGATTAAATTTATAAATATTGTAATATTTATAGTATTATATTATAATGTCTGTATGTATATAATTAACGCTTATTGAATCAATAGTTTAATAAATTTAATATATTTTTTTTATAATATAAAAGTTGTGTAATTATATGTTAGATTAATCAAACTTTTGGTGGACATATTAACCTAGCCCAATGTCTGCATTAAAGAGCAGAGTGCATCTAAATATCTTCCAAGAGATAGGCTCCTAGGGGATTGGATTAAAGAAATAAGGGGGGTGGGGGTTACTTTTTTCGCAATGGCTGAAAATTTCTCTAGGGACCATAAATTAAATATTTTTATATATTTAACTCAGAAACATTGTAAAGCTGCTTCCAATTGAAAAGTATGAAAGTTTTAGTGTTGATTTCCAGATTGCTCGTATAATTTAATGCTGAAGCCACAATGTGACCTATCACTGGAAATAAAATATTTGGCAGTAGCAGTCTATTATGATATTTAGAATTGTAATTATATATGTGAAGTAATAAAATTTTATATTATAAGCTTGCTCCTCATTAGAGAATGTAAAGATTAGTTCGGGAGTGGCTCCCGTCTAGTCCTAATCAGTTCTTTAAAAGCGGTTCATCTTTCATAATTCCTACTGACACATCTGTTTCAAAAAGACCAGACCATGAAGGACGGGTCGTTCCACATCATATATAGAGTTAACAAATAAATACCAAGCATATTAAGAACTGGACAACGGGTATTTTATCGTGCTAAATATTTATTTTTTGGATTATTATTTATCCAGCTCCAATCCCAAGAAAAGGAGATCCATTTATTAAATGGAAAGACATAAAGATTCTAATTAAAATATTAATTATTTTTTATCATAAGCCTAATTATAAATAATTATTGATATTATCTTATATTATTCGTGAACCTAACTGAAAAAAATAATTGATTACGGAATCGTAGATCGATGACTCTGTTTATAGCTTAGAGAGGCTGGACAAGCGGAGTTTCCAAATTCAATTGTAATGGGTTTATATACAAATATTTTTTTTTATTCCTGATTGTTTAATAGATATTTGAATAAAAATTTAAGATAAGTTAAAATGATTCTATTTAATAAAATTTAAGCAGGAAAAAGTTTAATGTACTTACATTTTTTACAAAAATAAATTGTTTATATTGTGGAAATTCATCAAAAAATAAGAGGGAATCCATATAATAACTATTTGAATGAAAAATGCCTAAGAGGAAGGAAAAAATTAAAGAAAGTAGCCTAAATTTGAATAGACCCAGCTGCTCAGCAATTTAACGTAAATTAGAGGCAAATTTTTTATATCAACTCTCCACTCCCCCCCCCACCCCATTATCTCCATTAACTACTCTGGCTATATATCTAGATATCAAAATGCTTTTTTATTTTTTGTTGTAAATATCAGTTTGAGTTTAACATTTATAAGCATTTGCGCTTAAAAATTTGCATAAAATATAGTCCAACTTAAGGACATTATTTTTAATCATATGAACCGTCAGATTTGAAAAATATTTAATTTTATTTAAAATAATTTTAAATATATATTAACTCTTACACTTATTTCTCAAACCTTTATTTAACCCTAACCCATATATATCTAATCTTAATTTTACAAGCTTGATTAACTCGATAAACATTTCATCCAGTTAAAAAATGCCTGATATACTCAATCCTTTGATTGAACTACTATCGCTTAAAATTGAAAAAGTAAGATCAAATATTATTCTTTATTTTTTTTTGTTTATAGCCTATAGACCTTTTTAAGGAAATATCTTTTGGTTTTTAAATTGATTTAAATCATAATAATGGGTAATCTGATAAAACTTGCACATATACCTTGACTTTAATAATTAGTTATTGAAATAATTAGAAATTTGATTATGAATAAATTAATTATTAAAAATGCATTCGAGCTATTGTATTGTAAACAATGCATATATGCATTACATGGGTATTATTAATAAATATAAATTCTACCTATATAAAACCTATCGATTTTACAATTTAAACGCTACTTTAATAACTTACCCTATTTAAGGATAATTATCCCTACAGATGAAATATTTTAAATTAAATGTTATAAAGGTGCATACATATTTCCGAAGTGTAATAATCACTTAATCAGCAATAGACTTTTTACCTAGTTACCTTGAATCATGTGTTCGAGCAAATTTGATTTCAAGAAAGGATTTTTGAGAAAACTTATATAGATATTTCGGAATCTATGAATTACTTGTATCATTTTTCTGAGGGCATTATGATCTTTGAAAAACTTAAAGATTTAAGAAATATATAAGGAGTTTTATTTATGAAAATTATAGGCTAATAATCTCTTATCTGGCTTCCTTTTATTACTATTTATTTAGTAAAATATATAAAGATTTTTTCTACTATGTTGAAAATAAATTCGTTTTGGTTAAGGAATAAATAATTTTAGTATCACTACTAAATATTATAAAAGATTGCTATTCATCTATGACTGAAGAGAGAAAAGAGCAGGGTAGTCTGTTAGTAGGGCTTTACATGTATCTCAAATAAGCAGCATTCCATTATATAATTAGAGGTCAAACCTAGTGTTAAATGTAGACTGGAAGTTTTTAAAGGATAGAAACAGTAATAAAAAAATAAAAATATTATACTAGATTGCTCATATTTTAAATTTATTAGTATCTTAGTAGTTTGATGCTTGTAGCTACAAATAATTCCTTTGATTTAAGAAGAATGCGCATTTTATTTGTATAATGAAATATCATTTTCAATAAACAATCATTTCTTTTATAATAAAAATATCAATTATATAGTTATTTTTTAATCTTGCGATGAATTATTCTAATATAATATATATGGTCTATATTTATTACTAATATTAATAAAAATATATTTATTTAGAGGAATCATATTTTATAACATATGTATCATTGCATATGTGCTAAATGCTTGCAACTTTAGAAATTTATTATGGAAAAAAATAAATCTTCAAAGCATTTATTTTCAATTATTATAGTATGTACATTATGGTATAATTTTAGTATATGCGCAAATATTTTGGCCAAAAAGTTAATGAATGATTTTCCTTACCCAATTACAATAACAATTGTTCAACTTTTAACCACTATTTTATATCTTAAACCATTCTTTCGTATCTTCAAAATTCCTTATGCAAAAAATCGTCTACTTATATCGAAAAATACATTTTTTACATTTATATGCCCACTGGCTTTGGGAAAATTTATATCAACTGCTTGTGCTCATTTCAGTATATGGAAGGTTTCCATATCCTATGCTCACACAGGTAAAAGATAGTTTATTTTTTTGCAAAAACTATTTGTTTTCATTTAGTAAAAGCTACAATGCCTTTATTCACCATATTTTTAACCCGCATAATTATGAAAGAAAAACAAACTACTCAAGTTAATATATTTAATGTTTTATTTCATATATTAGATTAATAGCTATATTTATACTTATTGATTTTTAGAAATTAAGGTTAACTTGGTGTGAGAAAGTAATTTTAAAGGAAATGAATAATATCATCCTCACTGCAAGAACTCATATGTAACCTCTTTTTTTTTAAATGCTTAGGAGAGACAAATTTTAAATAAATCCTATTTAAAAATTTGATAATAAGGAAACAAAAAACATGTTTGTATAATAAAGTTTAATATAATCTTCCTGGGTGAACCTGGGTTCAAATAAAATTTCCTGGTTCGGTTTGGGGTTATGAAATTTTATAAACAGGGTCAGGTTTGGTTTGGGCTCAGATTTTTTTCAAAAACCTGGGTTTTCTTCTCCAGGTTTGGGTTCAGTTTGAATCCCTATGAGGTCTTACATCAAGGCTTACTGATAAATATTTATAAGAAAACTTTAATTAATGCCTAAATCCCACAAAACCTTAGAAATGCTACTGTTTTAGTTTAATAATCTGGATTAACTCAATAAAACAATATTTTCTTCAGTTCTATTACCTACCACAATTTAGACCTCACCCCAATCTTTTCAAGATTCCAATGGGTATATATTAACCTACAAATTCTGCCCACTTCAACTAATTACAAATGTTCACATAAGTTGCCTGGCCTATTAAATTTTTTGTAATAGCTGGCTTGGTCCATTATAATTTTTTTTTTTAAATGTGCCTACCCCATAAAACTTTTATCCCATCCTGGTCCATTAAAGTTTTGTGAAAAGTCTCTATCTACCAGCCTGTTAATTTTTTTTTTGTATGAATTTTATCACCATCAAATAATATCTATATCTAATTTTTTCCTCAATTTTAATGAAGATTATTATATCTCTCCATTTAAAAAAAATTTTATGTAAATGAATCATATTAAATAAATTGTTTATTTTAATTTACTATTTTATTTATAGATTTAGTATTTTAGTTAGACAGTTCTATTATAAAGAAATGAGCATATTGTAATTTATTTTTAAATAGTATTAATCAAATTCGAAAAAATATATCATAATTTTAATATCCAATCTGGTTTATTAAAATTTTACGAAAAAATCAGAGATTTATGAGGCCCTGCCTGATTTTTTATGTAGAAATTGTCTGGTCTAGTCCATTATTTTTTTTCCTAGCCCACTATAATTTTTTTAGAGTTTTCCTAGCCCAAGCCCAGTTTTTGGACATAGCACATTTCAAGATAATTTGTTTTTGCTGTTACACATGGATGCCACCCATTTTCAGTACCCAAATAACATTACTGCAAAGTTAACTTTTAAAAAATCAATAATTTTAATGTGGTATTGTTATAACCTGAAAAATCATGAGCCTTTTATTCTGATGAAATCTTTGAACACCAATCTCACTCCAGAGAAACGAGACCAGCTCTTTTATGAATTTATAATCAAATTCACAGATGGCCTTGATTCCCTTAGTTTAATAAATTTGATGACCTTTATTTCAAATTCTCAATTTTGTTTTAATAAAATAGTTATTTAAAACTTAATTAATATTTTGAAACTTCTAAAACACTTATTCTTTTTATAGTAATCTATAGTTGGAGAAATCCAAAAATTTTATTTTGAGAAACAAAAAAGTATTATTTAAAAAAAATTTATAGGTTGGGGAAGGGGGTGGCGCGTTAAAAATTGGACCTTATTATAAAAACCCAATATTTACCTATGTTTAAAATATTTTCTATAATACTGAAACTTTCTTTGAATATGGTTATTTATTTATTTTACTCTTTAGATATGAACGTTTTGGATCTTTCTAATCCTGCCTTCATTAAATTGCCTTTTTTTAACAAAATATTTACTTAGCTATATTCTATTTTTGATGGAAATGTGTTTAAAAAACCCCAGTTTTCGACGTAACCTGAATATAACCTTGATTTTAATTTTTGCCACCTTGTCATTAAATGCTTAATTTTTACATCTAAGCGATAATTTTATCGCTTATTTTGATGTGAAATTTTTTTTTTAATTGAGGAAATATAATATAACATAATAATAACTATTTATGTAAATAAATATAATGGAGGAGAAAAAAAACGTTAAATAAATGACAGATAAGATCTTTGAACCGTAAATTTAAATTTACATTATTTTGTATTAAACCATTTGGTAAATAAAACAAAAATACCTTGACCTTATCCGCATGATGATAGGAATTTATTTTCAAAGAAAGAATGATAAAATCGGTTAAATATAATGATATGATGAACAGAACAATGAAGCGTTCTCATTTACATTGAATCCGGAATAAATTCTCTACCTATTCATTTGACGCCATTTTTTTATTCTGATTATACCTGCGTCATTATATGTACGATAAAATGTGTGTTTTTAAATATAATTACTGGTAGCGATATTCGGTAATCAAATACTTTATCAGGCAACATAAAAATTTATCCCTTAAAAATTAATTATATAAAAAAAAACGTATATCCTGTAAAAAAAAATAAATACTTATGGCTGCCAACATCTGATTTTTAACAAACTAAGAAAACATCTTTTAAGCACTTGCTGTAGGATTTAAAATTTATTAACAGCCCATATTTTTTTTTAAAAAAAAATAAAAGTTATATGAATCTGCTAGAGCTTTTTTTAAAAAAAATTTCGTCGTTTAAAATAAATTATTTTGCCCATATTTTGGAAATTGGTTACAAAAGTGAATCGAAAATATGAGAAGCGAATTAATGCTAAAAAATGATACATCATTCAATTTTTTTAAATAGTTTTTTCTTAAAAATGTGGACCCGCTATAAGAACCCGTTAGGATTTATATATTTTTTTTATTAAATTTGGCACGTTCCCCATAATACGTAATTTTATATACAACTTATTAGAAACCAATTCAAGTTGATATCTGCTAAACATTAATAGTCGACCCCAATGTTAACGATAACATTTTGAGGGGAAAATGTCGACTGTTTAAGCAAAAAAAATATATTACATAGAAGCAAATGGGCTATTTCAATTTAAAAAATTATCATATTATTTATTTAAAATTTATTTTTCAAAATACAATATTAACATTGTTATCATGAATAATTTTTCCGCCATTTTGATATATCGGATAGACCATTTTCGGGATAACCGATATTTCAAAAATTTAAAACACGGGTAGATCCGATATTTAAAAATGGGTAATACTAATTTTTTTTTCTCTCTTTAGCTTTCACCTTTTCTGATGGTAAGCTCCTTCAACATCTCTCTCCACTTTATGTTATTCATACAATCTCTTTTATCTAATTTATACTTCTTTATATTGGCTCTAACTTTATGGCCCCATTGAAGTTTTGGCCTTCCTCTTTTACGTTTGCCCATCACTTCCAAACTAGTCTAATTAAAATATTTTATTTTTAAAAAAAATTTTTTTTTAAAAAAACTATAAAAGATAAGGTAATATATGTCTAAGTGATATAGTAGGCAAAAATAAATTTCATGATTCAATAATCTCCGACATTTTAATATATCAGATCGGCCATTTTAACGATATCCGATAATCGATATTTAAAAAATGGATGCTACATTCCTCCCCCCCCCCCCTCGATTAAAATATTTAATAAAAAATAAAATCAAAAAGGTATATCTATCGTTAGTCCCTATAGTGTTCGGAGTTCTATTAGCGTCGGTCACTGAACTTAGTTACGATTCCCTGGGCCTTATGTACGCCTTACTTTCCACGCTCGTTTTTGCGCTCATGAATATATTTTCGAAAAAAGTTTGAAATAATTTATTTTATGCATTGTCAAAGCTTTCATTACTTTTTTATAAAAAAAATAGCTAACACGAACTGATTATGTGCTGAAAGGACAGAATGATACACCCTTTTTGAATAATCGGTCCGGTTTTTAATCACCCGGATCGGATTGTTGGCCTTTCCTAAATTGACCATTATTGTATTATATTTTTAAGCATAGTTTTTGAATATAAGATCCTTTTAAATCTAGTAATATTTATCAGAGCTTGAAACCGGAACCAGAACATGGAACCTTTTTTTTATAAACTAATAAACCCCAAACCGGATGTAGAACCCATTTTAAAATTTTTAGGAACCTATCCCCCAACGGGTTCTTACAAAAAATCTTTACCTATTGTTTAAAATATTAGGCCAAGGATTTAAATTACTTTTTAAAAAATTTTGAGAACCAGAATCCTTTTAGATCCAGAATTTCAAACTCTGATCGTTACTAAACTATTTCTTTTTAGAATAAAACTTGTTATAATTGACCTTTTTTACTTCTTACGCTGAATTTATAGTAAACGTGTTTATTCATGCCATGCGTTATTTAATATGGAAATCACATCTGACTTCATAGCGTTAATATTTTTTGAAACAACTCAAACAATTCAAGCGCACAATGTTTAAAAAAAAAATTATACGCAGTATTTCAAAAATATCGCTGGACATGTACAAGCGTTTGGCTCATTGAAAATTTTATCGTCTGCTTACATGTTACTTTGATTTCTTAAATATTTTAAAAACAATAGATGTTCTATATAATATGCATATTTAAAAACTAACCTGTATAATTTATGAACTATAAGGTGTCCATTATAATTATATAATATATATATATTTATAACTACCCCATATAATATATACTTATGATGCTATTTTTTTTACAATGACTACCAAACGCTCAATTTCTCAACCGCTAGAACGTTCTGTTATGGTCTAACCTTAATATCTTCAGCGTTTTAATCATATTTTCACTCCCGAGTCCTCATCTACTCATGCCAAAAATCTTATAATTTTGATGTCTAGCTATCTTTTTTAAAAAAAATATTATAGGTCATTTGAATTTTAAATATCTTAGACATTTTCTTTCAAACAATTATTCGCCTTGAAGATTAATTATTATAATAATAATATGTAAAAAAAAAATCAGCTCTTATCCGAAAAGAAAATACACCATTTGTCGTTATTGCACATCTTAAGCTCAGTCGCGGTCGTGATATTTTTACCGTTTTGGTTCTACGTCGATTTTAAATTGCTCTATAACGATCGTTTTCATATGTAAATCCTTCTATTATTATTTATTTATAATATTCTTAATTATGTGTATATTATTAGAAGACAGCATAACCCACTTATGACTTCCGGTTTTGTGACTTCTTGCTTTAAATCATATAATTTACAATGTTTCTAATTTTCAGGCCGCTAATTTGTATCTTATAATTTTTGAATTATACGAAAAGATATTTTTAAGAATTTTTTTAATTTCCATTTTCTAAAAGAAAATTAAGTTATAAAATGTCTTGATAATGTTAGAAAGATACCAAAATTTATTTTGCTTTTTTATAAAAAAGCTAAGTAATACTAGGACTTAGCCATAACGTTGCTAGCTTTTGATATTTTAAACATCAATCCCCCCTCTCTCTCCCGAGAAACCTCATAAACAGATACTCAGAGCTTGAAAACCTAATCCCATTTTCAGATCTTTGAAAATTTTGGAAGTAATTTTACGAAAACTCGTCAAGAATTAGATTCTCTTTTTATTTTTTTTTTAGAATCAGGGAACCACTTTTTTTAAAAAAATATTCAGAACCGGAGATCCTTTTTTATTTCAGGATTTAAACTCCTGGGTTTGGTTTTTCTATGTAATGTTTAGTTATTCTATTATAATAATTCTGAATTTTTTTTTTCTGTTAATCAAATTTCCTCATTCTTGAAAATCTTCAAAATTTTTATAACTTAATCTCTTCTTTTTTTTATCTATTTAAATCAGACTCAATCACGAGAACTTCTACAAAATTCTCCTATACTTATTCCTCAATTCGACCTGTAACTTCGGCCAAAACATAATGGCTTTCACGCTCCTGAGCATGATAGCCCCCCTCAGTTATAGCGTAGCTAACGTTGCCAAGAGGATTTGGGTTATAAGCCTTTCCCTATTTTTCATGGGTAACAAAACTTCCATACCTAACGTGATAGGGATGGCTGCAGCCATCTTCGGCATATTCTTATATCACCGGGTAAATTAAATACTTTTTTTTATAGCATTTAAATTATTAAAATTATATTTACTAGGCAATAAATGATACTTTATGAAGGTTTAAAAACATTCATTTTAAGTTTGGAATGTTTTTTAAGAGTCATGAATCATGATATGTATTACTTAAATATACGGTGAACTCGGTTATTAATACTAAATCCCCCTTTGGGTTAAGATGGGGATGGATGGAGTGTTAAATAAAAAAATATATCTAAAACTAATGTTGTTTAAAGGTTCGATTTTTTAAAAACGGTGAACCCAATATTTTAGCCAAAAAATTAAATAAGCCTGGAGATCTTGTTCATAGATGGCAGAAAGATTTGGACATCTATTAATGAAATCTTAAATGTGTAATATTATTTTGGCTAAAATTTTGATTTTATATTAATTAGCTTAATCGAACCGTTTAACAACATATCTAAAATATTCTACCCAAAATGAGGAGAGTCCGGGTAATCGTATCAGATATACAGCGAAACTTTTATCGCGAAACACTTTTTCGCGAATGTTGTTTACTGCGAAGGAATAAACACAATTCTGCTAATTTTTTCCGCAAAACATTAATAGCGAAAACAATATCGCGAATTTATTTACGCTAAACCTTTACCGCAAATTCATTTAAGCAATTTATAGCGAAATTTCTACCGCTAATATATTTGCGCAAAGAAATGTAAATATATTGCGAATTCGCTTATTTAAAGGAAAACCAAATATTCACAATTTACCCACCAAAGTTCCTTAAATCATAAACGCGAAATGTTTTAAGGATATTTTATTACATATTGCATGCAACCTTTATCTGATATGATTGAAAATAAATTAGTCAATATCTTTCTGGTCTTTCTCACTCAAGGGTGTAAGTAAGGAGGAGTTATTTTGATTTAAATTTTTACCCCATAAATTTACCCCCTCCCCTCCCACACATAAATTTAAAAAAATGTGCTTTATGCCTTTAAAAGTAAATTTTAACAAATATTCTGAAATGCTTAGAAAATTTTCCCAATCAAGATAAAAAATACTGAAAGCTAATCTAAGAATTTTTGCTGACCCCAGATTATTTTTAAAAATTATAGAAGATATTGCTAAGTAAATTTTTTTATATTTTCTCAGAATATTTATTAAATTTTCCGATTTATTAAGACATAAAGTAATGATTAATTTTAAAACTCAAAAAGTCATGTTTATGCACTTAAAAATATAAGAAATTCAATTCTGAGAAAATTAAAATTTTTACATAGCAAAATCATCTTTTTGGAATTCACTAAAAATTATTTTAACTAGTTTTAATTAAAGGGAAAAAATAATCTATGGTGTAGCACTAAACTATATATATATATTGTAATTAAGCATTACATATTGACTTAAGCTTCAGAATTAGTGCTTGCCAACGTTTGGCAAACTTCATGATTAAGGCTGTGTCTTAATATTAGAAATCAAATTCCTATCGAATTTTTTGAACTATTACTTTATATCTAAGTAAACAGAAGAGATTAAAAAATATTTATAAAGATCTTAAAATCACAAAATTCAAAATGAATTAGAAAAATCTCTTATACTTAATGTAATTTATTTTTGAATCGCGATTCAAAATTCGATAAAGACAATCTAATAGCTTATAACTCTATTCTTGGTTAGTGACTACCAAAACTGATTGGTGAATTTATAAATATTAAATACTTCAGACAACAAATATTGGCGCAACCCAGATATCAATTTCGCCAATAAGAATCATGATTTAACTAATAAACTCAATCATTAATATGTTAATAAGCCTAGGTGCGTGATTCTTATAAAATAAGACTTCTAGGAAAAGCATAGGGCAGGATAGCAAATCTTATTTATTCCAATAATAATTTTTATATACCACATAGTTCATTAATCTATTAAAAACTATCATTGAATCAATCTTGTACATATTTTTTGTTTAAATATTATTTAATTAATATAATCATAAAAATACACGTTTTAATAAAATAGTCACTATTGGTAGTTATCGCAATATTAACCTCGTGATATTAAACCCGCTCTAATATCTTCTCTATATATGTTTCGCGAAGTAATAATCGCTATATTGACTTCGCGATTTAAGTTTCGCTGTAATGACTTCGCTTTATGAATTCGCTCTAAAAGTTTCGTAATATTGTCCTCGCGGAATGTTGGCTAATGTGGATTCGCGATAAAAAGTTTCACTATAAAATCTATTCTCGATAACGATATTCACGGTAAAAGCTTCGCGAAAAAGTGTTTCGCTGAATTGATATGGAACCATGGAAATAGTGCCTTCAAATTTAGCGTTTGCTTTTTCCGTACTTTTTTTAGTCAAGAAAAAACGTAACGCATCCCTTTTTTAAATTGAAGTGGAATTTTTATTTAAAAAAAAGGGAGTATATTAGTCTGGAACAAAAAAAATGTTAGCATTAAATTATTTAAAAAAAAGTATTGAAAAAAAACAAATCAGTTTGCGTTTTTTAAACATGGTTTTTTAGCGCTAAACGGTAATTCGATCGATTTGCACGATCGCTCAATTTATGCGCACTATCAGGAACTTTTCAACCCCCTAATTTTAAAATAACGTATCCTCGAGGAATCGTATATTTTGAAATCTACATTTTATTTTTTTAAAAATCAATAGTTTCCATTTTATAAAAAAAAGGATAATTTTCATAAGAAGAAAGTACAGCAAAGAATAATTTAAATATAAAATTAAATCTATCTTTAATAAAAATCAAATTTCCATTATCAGAATCGGATGGCATCGGTTTCATTTAATGAAACTAATATCAAATTTCGGCTGAGAGTCATTTCCATAATGTTTAAAGGTATCTGATAATGTAACCCTGCATTCACAGTTAGCGCGAATTCGCGGTGTAAAGCGTATTTTGTATAATTCGTCGCTATTTCGCGCTATGAATGAGAGATAACGCACATATAGGGAATCATTTTTCGTTATTACATAGGACATTATAAAATTAAAAATGTAAATACGATTTATAACAAATTTTTGTAAGAAGATACATTTTTTTATAAAAACGTAATATAAACGAAAACTAAAGTAAAATTAAAATATGAGGTAAAGAACATTCCCAAATTGGTGTCAAATGAAAATCTTAATTATTTTAAAAAAATCATTTATTTACTTGCCTTATTTCGCTTCTATCACGGGGGAAGGGGCGTATAACGCAAGATCATCATTGAAATTGAAGGGGTGTATAGAGAATTATCAAGACGCTATCTTCATTAGAATAAAATGGAGGTGATAGGAGGGTAAATGAATTTATAGAGGTAAATGGTATGTTAATTTTGATTTCTCTTTATTTTTGTTTACATAGTAGGGGATAGAGAGTAATATTGCTATTGGCTGGGAAGGAGGGGTGGGGGGGGGGGGGAATGTAGAAGAGCCTTTCAAATTACTGGTAACCCGGTCGGTATATAGCCGCAAATTATTTTAGGTCACATCTACATCCATTTTTTTAAATATTAACCAATACATGTTGTTGAAATCTATGATAAATCATCTTTTCTTTAAACGTCTTTTTATCATTAAAACCAAATGTATAAATAATTTTCCAGCATAACGCTATTTACAAAGATTATACGTTGTACGAAATTATATCGAATAATGAGGGCTATAATCAACGATTCTGTTTCTTTTGAGTTCATTAATAAGACGAAATTTATAATTTTTAAATTAAAATATTTATCTTTCATAGATTGGATTATTTTTTTTAAAAAAATCCATCAAAATATTGATTAATAATAATTTTGCCCTAAACCGTCTAGCAAGGAAGCCATTTTTTTTAGTTCGTTTTTTTATTTTTGCATATTTCACTGGTATTCTTATGTAAGTGCTTGAAAGATTATAGAAATGGTAGGTCGATCTTTTATAAAGAATTTTTGGATAATTATTTTGAAACACCACAGGCTATTATAATTATGCATCGATTTTATTGTGTTAGGATCATGGCTTTTATTACAGAGGTGCATTTTGGAGCCCGGCCTAGATATATGCTTAGCTAATCCCTCCCCTTGCGCAAAAAAAATTATTGTGATTTAAAAAAAAAAGGTTTATGTATAAATTACATGCATAAATTCGTTTATTTTTATAAATGTGTCATTTGCTATCATCATGAAATTAATGATGTGCTGAATATTTTTTTATATGCTATAAATTGATCGGGTATTAATAGGGCCGAGAGCTACGGGGGGGGGGGGGCATTTGAGAACCTTACTACCACAATTTTTCACCCTCCCCTCACCACAAAATATTGCATATTTTGCGTTTGTTTAAACCATTTTCTTACACTTATATGTGTATTGTAGGTAAAAATGATAATATATGGTATTCTTATTATTACATAAATTATGCTTAATATTGTCCAATAGTCGTCTATTATTTATTGCTATAATATGTTGCATATTTTTATTTATTACCAAATTCTTATTCTAACTTGTCTATTCACCAATCTCATTTTAAGAATGGCTAAAATATGCAATTTCCGGTAAAAATACGCAAAAAAAATTGACACTCCCCCCTCCTATCCCCCAAAGAAAAAAAATTATAGTTATAGCTTGATGTAATTTATAAAATACTTTTAGTAACGTGTGCTTGTATAGAATTTTTTTGGCCTTTATAGACTAAAATATACACATTTTAAAAGAATCGGCCTGCTTTCGCAGCTGATTGTTATTTATGTTTGATACTTGATAGATTTAGAATGATATATTTATTTATTTCGATCATTTCCCTTATAAAAACTTTATTCAAATAAAAAAATAATAATAGGCTAAATATCAAAGCCGACTTCGCGATGCCTCTTCTCACTTGGCCAACGGCGACCTACCTTTCCATAACGATGCCGCGTTAATGGATGCAAACAAGAATTGCAGCATAAACGGTAACCTCTTGTTCGAAACTGACGCCCGCATTAGAGGGGCGGAACTCGAAAAATATCAGCTGACATCGGTATTGAGTCAGGGCTATCTGAGCGAAGTGTGATCTTAAGAAAAAAACCTTTACGGCATTTGACTATTTTTTTTGTAATTAGGGCAGAAGTGTTTAATGATTCCGGTTATCCGATCTTTATACCATATGTTTTTTTTAAATAAATATGAGTCAAAAAATGCAAAAACTCTTAATTTTTAAAAAAAAACTAAATTGGTTTTATTTTAATTGATTTTTTTTAAATAAAAAAATGATCATTGATTATAAATGATAATTTACTATCATAAAATAATTAATGAAACTTTGCTCAGTTAATATTATATTTAAAGGGCACAATTTTTTTTTATAGTAAATTTATCACTTTTTAAGATTGATACGCCTATTAAATATATTAAAATGCCAAAACACTATTCCAACGAATTTCAAAATTATTATAATAATTTTTTTTATATGTATAAAATATTTTATTAATATATAGTACGATATTTTATACTTCACAAATTTTTCATATATAATAGGGAATATAATATAAAACTGTTACTACTAGCATAAATTTAGACTTATTGGTGCATTTTTTTTTGAATATTAACGAAAAAATATTTATAATAATATTAAATAATATCCGTTTGATTAATTCTACCCTGTTTCTTGTTTTAAAGTATTTGTAAGAAATTATTTATTATTTTAACATTGATCACACATTTCACTTAATTTTTATTTTATTTTTTAAATTAAAATAAATTATAATTCATTTTATTTTCCATGCAAAAAAAACTGGAGGCCAGCAGAAACCCAAACCCCCGAACTTAGAAAAATGTTGATCATTTTTATGGCCCGGTCCCGGCCCGGATAATCGAGTTTGCAAATTTTTTTCAAGCCCACCCTGGATTTTTCAAATTATTACCATTATATTTTCCCAAGTTAAACTTTTTAGATTTATAGAATACAATAAACGCCAGTTATATTTTGTATGATGACAAGACAATCTACATTTTTTTTATCGAATGCATTTTATAGTAATTACATTTATCATATTGGGGTTTGACATAGAGGATTATATTATAATTAATATATACTACCTTTGTACACCGCAAACGCAGTGATATTATAGTTAGTTACCATCTCTATCTATATTATTGTTGTAATCTATTTAGACAATAAAAATGTTACATAAAATTTATATCAAAATTACATGATTCCATATTAAAAAATAAAAAATGTAAATATAAACCTATACTTTGCTTTGGGTCTCTTACATTTAAATAATTTTATATTATATCATTATATTTAGGTCTTCGAAAATTTTTGAAATAGTGAGTGCTAAAATTTTGCTAAAAAAAATTGGAACAAATAATTAACCATAACTCTGATTTGCATTTAGTTCAAATACTAATAATAATGTATTCGCCTTCGTCGTATAAATAAATCTTTCGGTTTTAAATTAATATCTATAGAATCATTATGTTGAATAAATTGAATTTTCTGTTTTTTTTATAAATATAATTTACTATATATAAAATTTTAACAATTAAAACTTCATAAATTACAAAAAGAATAAAATTTAATGGAAAAAAAAAATATGCGGTAAGCTTAATAAAGGGTAGACATTTAAAAAAATATTTTTGGATATTTTATCAATTAGAGGGAAATTCTCTGAATCATCTCATTGTTCGAAACAAGATTTTTCTAAGAATTTTTTTTACCCTTGAGGTGTTTGCTAGTTATAATTTAAAGTCGATTTAATTCATTTTTTTATAATTTCTTTCATTCCATCCATTATTTACTCCCATCCCATGTTCCATAAAACGTATAGATAGCTGAATAGATGATTTTAGATAATCCTATATTTTGATTTCCCATCCCATGTTCCATAGAACGTATAGATAGCTGAATAAAAAAAAATATTTTGATTTTTATCATTTTAATTAAGAGCCAATAACTTGTATGGGATTACAGTTGTATACACTAATCGCGAAATCAAACAGGTAATACTCTCGTAGTTATATCTTATATAATATCAAAGGAAATAAATATACTCATTAAGCGACCTCCACGCCTTTATCTTTTATAAAAGATAAGTTCATCACTCAACTCACAAATTATTTATAACTTCACTGACTTAGAGATATGTAGATATCAAACCTCTTTAAATCCATGGTTCTAACTTCTATTTAGTCTTTTTAGAACATTATTAAAATAATTTGATAATGATTTCAGGAGTCTATACTTTTTAATTCTATATTTACGGATAAATTTTAAAGGAAAAGAAATTAATAAATTATATTATCAAAAAAATTTTTTAATTAAAATTTAATTTATCGAATAAAATGAAAATAAAAACAAATATTGTCTCTGGTATATTTTTAGGGCTATTAATATATATATTTTTTCAGACATAACGAGTAACGCATTTCTTTTTTGTAACAATGTTTACAGCACTAGTTATTGTGAAAATTATATACTATAAAACTACCGGTAGTAAAACGCTATTTAATAACTCACACAATTTACCAACACAACTCTAAAACTAAAATTAATAAATTTTCCTCCAAATTTTATTCGCCAACTAAGTATATAACTACAAAAAAAAGTTAAAAAGTCCTTGTAATTATAAAATCTCGTCCCTTTTATACTTTTTTGGGACAAAAAAAATCACAAGTTCTACATGTGATATATAAAATCAGGCAACTATTTATAAATATGATAAATATTAAACGAAATAATTTTAAATAATAGTATGACATTCCCTCCATAAATGAGCTCATTCGACACATTGTTCGCCCCGTTGTGACTTTAGAATATACATACTTTTAGTAATTCATCATGGTTTCTCTCAATCGTGTCATATATTCGATTTTATAAACTTTGATTTCTATACTAATTATCATTAATTCAAACTATTTTATTATCAATTAACCATGAAATTGATTCAAAATTTTCTATAATATATAGTTTTTCTTTAACATATATCCGATTCGATTCCTTATTCTGAATAATATAGAATTCCATAATATTTCAGAAGAACCAACATGAATTTATCTTCCTTCCCATATCTTTGCTATTATAATGGTTTCCTTTTCAAAATTCCAATAGTTCCGCTAAAGTAGGCATTGGCTGCATCGTTTATGATCAATTATTAGTTATCTGTAAGCAACGTTAAGGACTTGTCTCCGTAATATTCATCGAGTTTCCATATGTCCCATAATTTCTATTTTCACAAGTTGATAATCTATATCCATTAGCACAATCAATTCTTAATTTAAAAAAAAACACCTCTTCTGCTTTTTTTCTTGGTAATACAAAACAATTCATAGCATTTTGATCGTCGATCTTCATCCCATCACGCTCTTCCATTTTTACATTATAGCTTTATTGTCTACCAATTTACCGATATAATAAGAAATATTCAAGCACTCTACATATATTTTAAGGTCAAAATTTCCAATATTAATACTAATAACATTTTTGCACAAATTTTAAACACCTCTTTTGTACCCCTCTTCTTTTAAAATTCTTACCATATTTTAGCACTTTTACGCATTTCAAACATTTCTTTTGATCTCTCCTTATAAATTTTAGCCAAACATATTTCAGTCCAACCTTTCCTTTTGTATCCTTCTTCTTTTAAAATTTATCCCAATATATTATTACTATAAATTTCAAACACCTCTTTTGTATTTCTCCTTTTAAAATTCAACCCAACATATATCAGTCCAATCTTTTTTCGCTTTCTCCCTAATAAGTCCCCCGATTATTCCCCAATAAGTCCCCCTAAATTACTTCCCTAAAATTCTTCCCAATTTCTTTTTATAATTCTCCCCGATTGCTTCTCTAAAATTCCCCTTGCTTACAAAATGCACATTTGTTAACTCATTTTAATCGAAAAAATAGAATTCCACTCCTTTTATTATAATCAACATAATAGTCTTATATGTCTTATCGCTCATTTTATACCCCAAAATTTTAAAATACTTTAATAGTCATAAATCCATTTCTTAAATTTATTCTTCTTTCATTTCGAAAATCTACATATTTTAGATATTCGTAAACTCATTTAAAAAAATTTCTCCACATAAAATTAAAACATAATCTTTTTCTATTCTATTCCCACTGTTTTTAAACCAAGAAAAATTTTTAACCTTGAATTCCTCATTTTTTTCAAAAAAAAATATCTAACTCACTGTTATATTCTACTCAATTTCTCACCAAAAATTATTTCTTTTATCACCATTTCAATTCTCTTTTATTCCTTTATGTTTTTATTCCAAAATTAAAGGTAAAAAAAATATTGAATATCTTTCTCTTTTTAAAAATAAAAATATTTTAGCATCTCTTTTATCCTAAATATATTCTTTGCAAATCATCACCCTTTTTAAGAAACCCTCTTTTTTTATAAAGAAAGGTTTACCTCGCATAATATTTATCATCAATATTTATCTCGTGAATATATTTTACTCTTTTGGAGCCAACTCATTTTGTTTTATTATTTTCTCCTTCGCCTCCGATTTGTTATTTAAACCCATTACTACTCACCACACTCCCTTTTTTTGACACACCGCCTTTAGCTTTATTTTCCAGAGTTTATTTTTTTTAAAAAAAATTGCTATCTCTCCCTGTCTCGAACGCTTTGTTTTGTAAAAAATTTTTTAGCCTAGCACCATAGCTTCATATAAAAATATTTTTTCTAGCACTTGCAATTTTCTCTTTTTTTTTATATTCAACGCTATTTTATTTCTCAATATTATTCTACACTTTCGCCGCTACATGAGTTTTCGGACTTATTGATTTACAATTCTCGATCTGTTAATTTGTGATTTTGGCTCCAAAACAAATTAATTCATCTTACGCACTATTATACTGTTCTATTTATTCACCACCGCACTATTCATTGAAATCTATCATTAAATATTTGTTTCACAATGATTTTCATTATTTTATATTCCAATAACTCCACTCTCATTACATAATGCAAAATTTATCATTATTCCTTCGCACAAATGTGGTAGAACTGTTCCTTTCTGTGTAAGCCAAACACTCATAAAAGTTTACATCTCTTTCCACTTTGAGCACTAACTTTCGGCACTACTTTCTCCACTTATATATTTTCACTCTCACATTTATATATTTCTCTATTAATATAAATTTCTCTCACATTTATTTTACCATCGCGTTATGCGCTCTCTATATAATTTTTTTCGTTCACTCCAATTTAATTCAACACAATTAATATGCATTAACCACTGGAAAATTTCAACAATTATAAAACCAAATTTCATTTTTCTAAAATTTGCCATATTTTTGTTAACACCTCCACGAATATTAACTTACCACACTATAACTTTTTCCATATGCTTAGTCACATTCACCGCTTTAAATATAATTTATTAATACAACACTATAACATTTCCTATAAGTTTCGGTCACGGCCCCTTGTGAAAATTATATATTAAAAAACCAGTAGTACAACGCTATTTAATAACTCACACAATTTACCAATACAACTCTAAAACTAAAATTAATAAATTTTCAACTCCAAATTTTATTCGCCAACTAAATATATAACTACAAAAAAAAGAAGATGATAAGTCCTTATAATTATAATTATAAAATCTCGTCCCTTTTATACTTTTTTTGGGACAAAGAAATCACGAGTTCTACATGTGTTATATAAAATCAGGCGACTATTTATAAATATGATAAATATTATACGAAATAATATGACAGTTATATTACAAAAATTGGTAACTCATTGAAACTCGGGGAATTTTTAATATTTTTTTTATTTAAAAATAAAAATACATATGAATATGAATATGAATATGGGTGGAAATTTTTTGATGTAATAATAATTCAAAGTTTCATTACTCAAAAGTTTTAAGAATTCCATTTTTATTTCGTGAAAACTTTCCCAATTCTTTAATATTACATTGAAAATGGAAAAGTTTTATGCTGTATTAAATGCTATTAAGTATTAGTACTATAAATATTTTTGTAAAAATTTTCACAATTCTTTAATTTTACATTAAAATAGAATAAAGATTTTAAAGAGGCATGTTCTATATTGGATGCTACTAAGTTATGACATGACGATTAAAACAAATACTAGATAATTA